CTCATTTCGGCGGGTGGTATCGGATTCACTTCCCTTGTTATTTCTCTTATCATTATTATTATTGGTGGTAGCAGCAGTGATTTGTGTTATACCTTAGTTACTGGACTGTTCTTATCTCAACCCGTGGGAGTTACATTCTTTCAATTCTCCTCCCCATCCCTACGGGAGCAGGTGGGGGGGGAGGAAGGAAAGAGGGGGGGGTAGTAGAAACTGTGTGGCTGACTGCGTTTAAACCATGACACCAGTCCATGATGACTTCTAGAATACCTCCACGATTGGGATTTCCTATTCGAGCTCATTGTGTAATTAGTGCAGCCCACTTACTCCATGAAGCATCGGTTGCATGATGTGTAGAGGAGACCCTGCTTTTGAACATCCACCTCAGAATGGGCAGGAAGAGCTGTGCTCCAGTGCCAATCACATCTGAAGCAGCTCGAGCACCTTCATAGGCTGCCAGTATGACTTTTTCAGTGGGGGTATAGCTGGCCTCTGATCCTCTGCATCTGCAACTCCAAAAGCGGAGGGGTAAAATTTGAGTCTCCCCTGGAACTTTCTGTCAGAGGCTCCAGGTAGGACCATTCTCCCCATCTGCTGTGTAGAGTACATTTTTTACATATGGCCTGGTCTGGACTGGTCCAAGGGCTACTGCATGAACTATCTCTCTTTATGTTTCATAGAATCATAGAATAGTTAGGGTTGGAAAGGACCTTATGATTATCTAGTTCTAACCCCCCTGACATGGGGGCAACCCATTCCAGTGCCTCACCATCCTCACAGCAAAGAACTTCTTCCTTATATCCAATCTAAACTTCCCCTGTTTAATTTTTAACCCATTACCCCTTGTGTGCTATCACTACAGTCCCTAATGGAGAGCCCCACCCCAGCAACCTTCTAGGCCCCCTTCAGATACTGGAAGGCTGCTATGAGGTCTCCACACAGCCTTATCTTCTCCAGGCTGAACAGCCCCAACTTTCTCCACCTGTCTTCATATGGGAGGTACTCCAGTCCCCTGATTGTCCTTGTGGCCCTCCTCTGGACTTGTTCCAACAGCTCCGTGTCCTTTTAATGTTGAGGACACCAGAACTGCACACAATACTCCAAGTGAGGTCTCATGAGAGCAGAGTAGAGGGGCAGGATCACCTCCTTCGACCGGCTGTTCACTCTCCTCTTGATACAGACCAGGATATGGTTGGCTTTCTGGGCTGTGAGAGCACACTGCTGGCTCTTGTTCATTTTCTCATCAACCAACACCCCCAAGTACTTCTCCACAGGGCTGCTCTTCCTGTGCCCTCAACCACCTTGATATCTGTTGGAGGGATGGTACGGCCTGGCACAAGCAATCCAGGAGGTTCCTTGATTGTGTGGAAGACAACTTTCTTCTGCAAGTAATAGAGGAGCCAAAAAGGAGAGGTGCCATGCTCGACCTCGTGCTCACCAACAGGGAACGGCTCGTTGGAAATGTGATGCTCCAGGGCAGCTTTGGTTGCAGTGATCACGAGATGGTTGAATTCAAGATCCTCAGGACAGTGAGAAGAGCTTGCAGCAAGCTCACTGCCCTGGACTTCAAGAGAACAGAATTTCTCCTCTTCAGGAGCCTGCTTAGCACTCTCTGGTATATCCATGGGATATAGCCCTAGAGGGTGGGGGAGCCCAAGACTGTTGGTTGATATTCAAGGATCACCTACTACAAGCTCAGGAGTGTTGCATCCCAACTAGAAAGAAATGTAGGAAGAGGGCCAGGAGACCTACTTGGATGGATAAAAAGTTGCTGAGGAAACTCTGAGGGGAAAAAAGAGGCTTATAAATGGTGGAAGCAGGGACAGGTGGCCTGGGAAGAATAAAGGGATGTTGTCCAGGAAGCTAGGAACCAGGTTAGGAAAGCTAAGGCGCAGTTAGAATTAAGCTTGGCTAGGGATGTAAAAGATAACAGGAAGGGATTCTATGGGTACATTGCAAATAAAAGACAGACAAGGGATAATGTGGGCCCTCTCCCAAAGTTATCAGGAAAAATGGCTACCCTGGATTTGGAGAAGGATGAGGTTCCTAATGACTTCTTTGCCTCGGTCTTCACTGGTAAATGCTCTGACCAGACCACCCAAGCCTTGCAAGACAGATGCAGGGACTGTGAGAATGAAGACCTTAGGCCCACTGTCAGAGAGGATCTGGTTCGAGACCATCTTAAGAATCTGAATGTGCACAAGTCCATGGGACCTGATGAAATCCATCTACGGGTCCTGAAGGAGCTGGCAAATGAAGTTGCTCAGCCACTGGCCATCATATTTGAAAAATCATGATAGTCCGGTGAAGTTCCTGATGAGTGGAAAAAGGGAATTGTAACCCCAGTATTCAAGGATAGGAAAATGGATGACCCAGGGAACTAAAGACTAATCAGTCTCACCTCTGTGCCTGGCAAAATCTTGGAGCAGGTTCTCCTGGAAGGCATGCTAAGGCACATGAAAAGCAACCAGGTGGTTAGTGACTGCCAACACGGCTTCACTAAGGGAAAATCCTGCCTGACCAATTTGATGGCCTTCTATGATGGGGCTACAGAACCGATGGACAGGAGTAGAGCAGTTTACTACATGGATTGTGAAAAGCATTCAACATGACATCGTTGTCTCTAAATTGGAGATATATCAATTTGCTGGATGGACCACTTGGTGGATAAAGAAATGTCTGGATGGCTGCATGCAAAGAGTTGTGGTCAATGGCTCAATGTCCGCCTGGAGACCAGTAATGAGTGGTGTCCCTCAGGGATTGGTGTTGGGACCAGTCTTGTTCAACATCTTTGTCGTTGACATGGACAGTGAGATTGAGTGCCCCTCAGCAATTTTGCCAATGACACCAAGCTGTGAGGTTCGGTTGACACTCTGGAGGGAAGAAATGCCATCCAGAGGGACCTTGACATGCTTGTGAGGTGGGCTGATGCCAGTCTTATGAAGTTTAACCATGCCGAGTTCAAGGTCCTACACCTGGGTTGGAGCAATCCCTGGCACAGCTACAGGATGGGCAGAGAAGAGATGCAGAGCAGCCCTGTGGAGAAAGACTTGGGGGTGCTGGTCGATGAGAAAATGAACATGAGCCGGCTTCAGTGTGCGCTTGCAGCCCAGAAAGCCAACCGTATCCTGGGCTGCATCAAGAGGAGCGTGACCTGCAGGTTGAAGGAGGTGATCCTGCCCCTCTACTCTGCTCTCTTGAGACCTCACCTTGAGTATTGTGTGCAGTTCTGGTGTCCTCAACATAAAAAGGACATGGAACTGTTGGAACAAGTCCAGAGGAGGGCCATGAGGATGATCAGGGGACTGGAGCACCTCCCATGTGAAGACAGGCTGAGGAAGTTGGGGCTGTTCAGCCTGGAGAAGAGAAGGCTGGAGAAGAGAAGGCTGTGTGGAGACCTCATAGCAGCCTTCCAGTATCTGAAAGGGGCCTAGAAGGATGCTGGGGTGGGGCTCTTCATTAGGGACTGTAGTGATAGCACACAAGGGGTAATGGGTTAAAACTTAAACAGGGGAAGTTTAGATTTGATATAAGGAAGAAATTCTTTACTCTAAGGGTTGTGAGGCACTGGAATGGGTTGCCCAGGGAAGTTGTGAATGGTCCATCCCTGGCAGTGTTCAAGGCCAGGTTGGACAGAGCCTTGGGTGGCATGGTTTAGTGTGAGGTGTCCCTTCCATGGGCAGGGAGGTTGGAACTTGCTGATCCTAAGGTCCTTTCCTATCCTAACTATTCTATGATTTTATTTATCACTTCTTTGGGCAACGTATCAGAGTTGCAGTCAGGTGTCCTGTCTCTGCTTCCTCCCAGCTTCCTGTGCCCCTCGTCACTGGCAGAGCATGAGACTGTGAAAGTCCTTGATCTGAGTAAGCGGTATTTGGCAACAAATAAAAACACTGGTGTGTTTTCAGCATTTTTCTCAGACTAAAGTAAAAAACAGCACTGCACCAGCTTCTAAGAAGGAGAAAAATGCCTGCTACTGCTGAACACAGGACACCCCCCTATCAGAACACTCCTGGAGATACCTGCAGTCAGGACAGCTGGTTTGTAGCAAGATGACACCATCTCCCTTTCCAGTCCTTTTATATTTCCTTTCCTGGTGTTCTGTGATTTTTGTGGGAAGTGTCCGGACGAAGTGCAGTGTTCAAGGCAGAAGTCCAAGGGGTCTTATACCTCTGGTGGTTCTTACTCTGTCACACCAGCTGGGGGTTGGAACTGGATGAGCTTTAAGGCCTCTTCCAACCAAAACCATTCTAGGATTCTGATTCTATGAATTAATCCCAGTGCTTGGAAATGTAGTTAGCAAAAATGCATGTGGTTTCTTCCTTGAAGCAAGGGTTTCAGTTTTTATGTGCTTGGATTGCTTTTTCAGCGACCAGTTTTGTTAAACCTACTTGTGGGGCAGCACTTGAATTTCTTTTGAAGTGACTTTGTACTGGACAACAACAGCTACACAAATTCTCCTTGGGGACAGGTGTGATAGTAAATCTGGTGTGGTCTGAACTCACCTTTCACTTGCACCCTGAATGTACTGCTGCCTCCTGATTTTGGAAATGAATCTTTGAAACCCTCCCTCTGTGAGCCAAGGGACCATAAATCCCAAGGGCTGAAGCAACCCAGAATTTGGTGGCGGCTTCTTGGGTTCTAGTACTGGTTGCTAGAGCTCAGTTGTGCTGTCACCAGGCAGAGCCCAATCCCCTGAAGTGCCCAGGTTCCATGGGGGGGTGAAGCCTCTGTCTGGGGATCAGACAACTTCCCACTGCAAGTCTGGCTGAGCTGGAAAGACTCTGCAGTGGCTGCAACACCGTATTGCAGGGCTTTGCTGCTTAAGCTGAAAGTGCTTCTGATAGTTCAAACTAGCCTATCCTCTCAGCTGCTGGTTACTAGCTGCATCTCTGTATACATGGGAAGAAGTATTTAGTGCAGTTACTCTACTAGGCTTGGTATCCAAACCTGTTGATCAAGCATTCCATTTATTTTTAACACTGGAGGTCTCCTTGCTCTCCTTCGAAGCCTGTTGCACTTCCCACCCTGGGTGAGGGCCCTACTTGTCTCACATCTTCAGCAATCAATTTCTCACGGGCAGTTTCCACAGGCACGACTTCTTGGGCTGGCTGATCTCTTTGGACCCGATAAGCCAGGCCAATGTATGTGTCCAGCATTTGATCATCAATACCAGGACTGATCATGCAGAAGGTGGTCTTCAAATCATCTGCCTTCACCTCCCTGTTCAAAAACAACTTGATCACTGCTATGCTGTGGTAGGTGAAAGGAATATTTACTTACTGGTACCCCAGGGAGAATCCATGTTGCTTGAAATGCAGAGGAAAGATGATTTTTGGTATTATCTCTGCTTCTACTAGTATCCCTTTGGTTTTTAAACACACATGTAATGAAGACTGCCAAGTATGAAATTTCAAACTGAAGGGAAGCTAGGAAATGTTACATTTGTGATAACCTAGAAGACTGCAATTTCACTCTCTTGTGTATTGTGATATCCTTTGCTGCACAACTATATATTTCCTTGCTAATTCAGTGCCCATGTTGGACAGTACATGACTTCATGGGCATCTACCCACTATTGGTGTTTTCCTCAGTGCTCCGTGCATGGCACCAGCCTTTTTCTTTAGGCAGTAACTGCCTCTTGGTTTGAGGTGGAATTATTTCTCAGGTTAGCACCTTTAAATCTGCAGCTGTCAGTCCCATTCGCTCTTCACACTCCTCAGAACCACTCTCTGAGGATGTACAAGATTTTACTGCTGGTTTTGGAGAGCTAAGGTTGTTGGGACATGAGACTTCAGGTGCTGAAGGGGATTACTGGTACAACCCATTGTCTCTACTCGCTGCCTGCTATATTCAAGTCCTTTGGGTTAGGGATTGCCACTGTGCAGTGTTCTGTTGAGCAGGGCTCAGCCAAGTTTTGGTATTTAGTGCAATATTCACATCCAGGGTTCCCTCTGTGCATGCTGCCCTGATCTGCTGTCCCCATCAGCCCCTTCCCTCCACACTTACATTAAATTTCCCAGCTTGTTCTTCAGCTGTCTCAGATACTCCTGCTTCTCCCTGACATACTGGCTCCTGAGCTTGGCAACAAAAGGTTCAGCATTCCCCTCCTCATCCTGAAAGAAGTTACAGGTGTGTTAGCATTCAACATGCGTTCCAGTCTGGACAGAAGCAGTCCCCCAGTGTCTATTAAAATAGCGCAGACCTCCCAAAAATGGAATTTTCATGTGAAAAATGAAAATAAAGAGAAAGAATATGAAAAAACTCCTATCACAGAAAAGGTACAAACTTGCATTGCTGTTGTCTTCAGATGGCCTTCAGGTGTTCTGGTGGGCACTGCAACTTTGCTAGTGTAATAAATGTGGTTAATATGATAAAACAAATTTAATCCCTAAATTAGGCTTAATCTGAATCAAAAGGAAAATTTAACATCATTTTATCTTTTTGAATAAAGATATGTAGTCAGTGAGGTCTTCAGTGCTGTCCAACTTGTACCTGCTTGCATCGACCAGTTCTTGGATTAACTCTTTCCTTTTCAGGGGAAAAGCTTCCCTCAGAGCCGTGCTGTACAGAGGAATTTAAAGATGAGAAAAAAACTCCCCCTGGTTGCACTGGCAGGTAAGGAGAGTAGACAGAATCAGTGTCATGAGCTCTAACGTGTGACAGACTTGGGCACCAGTTGGGCTCTTGCCTGAACTGCTTGCTGGTCAAGGATCCTCTGTTTGAGCTGTTGCAGGCATCCAGCTCCTTCTGCAGGTTGGAAATGATCTGATTCTGGCTGTAGTACTGTTCTTCACCCACCTGTGAAACAGGAAAGGTTCACAGATCAGTAACTGCCCTATCTATTCCTTGGACTGCCTTCAAGAGGGAACCAAAACTGCAAAAGGACTGTGCTCCCTTCTAAAGCAACTTGTACCTGAGTGGCTTTTGTCTATTTACAAATAATTAAGCAAGCACCACTGTGGCTAGCAGGATCGTTGGTCACAGTGGCTTCTGGATGAGAAACTTGCTTCAGCTGTTAAACCCTCAGGTGCAGATGTACACCCTGGACATCCCCCACACAGCAGTAGCCTCCCTGCCCAGGGGGTGGCATTTGGTCCCAGCCACTTTTCCATATCCAAGTGTAAGTAGTAATTTGAGTAGGGCAAGTGTAAGAGGACCTGAGGAGGCTACACATCTTTGTGTTACAGGAGCTGGAAGGATGTGGCCGTGTAACTAGAGCTCTCCAGCTCTGACATGGTGCTGGAAGTGGGGAGGGAGGCTGCCAGGGCCTGCATGGTGCTGCAGTTCAGGGACCATGTCCTGATCTTCATAGACACTGCACAGGGACAAACCATGAGCTTTTTCAGGAAAGACCTTCTGAGAGAAAGAGGCAGGTATGTAAATCTTGTAAACAGAAGCCTCTTATCAGAGAGAGCAGATACAGTGTGTGAAAGAAGGACTTGGGGGTGTTGGTCGATGAGAAACTTAACATGAGCCAGCTACAGTGTGCACTCACAGCCCAGAAAGCCAACTGTATCCTGGGCTGCATCAAAAGGAGAGTGACCAGCAGGTCAAGGGAAGTGATCCTGCTCCTCTACTCTGCTCTCTTGAGACCTCACTTGGAGTATTGTGTACAGTTCTGGTGTCCTCAACATTAAAAGGTCATGGAACTGTTGGAACAAGTCCAGAGGAAGGCCACAAGGATGATCAGGGGACTGGAGCACCTCCCATATGAAGATAGGCTGAGAAAGTTGGGGCTGTTCAGCCTGGAGAAGATAAGGCTGTGTGGAGACCTCATAGAAGCCTTCCAGTATCTGAAGGGAGCCTAGAAGGATGCTGGGGTGGGGCTCTTCACTAGGGACTGTAGTGATAGAACAAGGGGTAATGGGTTAAAACTTAAACAGGGGAAGTTTAGATTTGATATAAGGAAGAAATTCTTTACTCTAAGGGTTGTGAGGCACTGGAATGGGTTGCCTAGGGAGGTTGTGAATGCTCTATCCCTGGCAGTGTTCAAGGGCAGGTTGGACAGAGCCTTGGGTGACATGGTTTAGTGTGAGGTGTCCCTTCCATGGGCAGGGGGGTTGGAACTAGATGATCTTAAGGTCCTTTCCAACTCTAACTATTCTATGATTCTATGATTCAATGTTTCCGCACAAAAAAATATGCAAGTTACCCTGATTTGCTAATTTGGGTCTATAAAAAGCTGGACCCTCTTGCAGCGACTTTGGAGACCTAATCTATGAGTGGATGCACTGTGCAGAACTTCCCAATTGCCAGGGAAGGTTCTCCAAATCCTCGCTGCATCAGGGGCTCCCCACCGACTGCAGATATGGATGATGTTAACATATTTAGGTAATTGGTAATATGTCTTTTTCTTAATCATTATTCTTTCTCTTGTAATGATTAGGTGCATTACCTTGCTTATTTTGTTTTTTGCTTAAACCTGGAGCATAGCAAGCTAATTGTTTTACTAAATGTATCATTTTATTTCTACATTAACTTATTATTAATAGTAAAATAAGATCATTCTTTCTGTTGGTGTCTGTGTCTTTTCTATTACCCCCGTCAACTAGCAAAACAACAGTGCACCATCATGCCCCGGAGTAGCAGCAGCTGAGCTAATTGAGGTCTCAGGCTCATGACTGTCCCTGATTTGGCTCAGGGTGACTGCCGCGGTTGCTCACCTGGGCACCCTGCCTTGTGGAGGAGTTTTCACTGACTCCCGTTGCTGCTCTTGCAACAACTACTGGACTGCTGCAGTTTATGGCCGTGGGCATCACAGCACCCAGTGCTGAGTTCTAGTTTCCTGAATGCCTCTGAATTTGCAGCAGTGGCTGGCCATCACATGCACCGTGAGCAGCTCAGCTCTCCTGGGAGCAGGAGCTGCAGAGGAAGCCTCTTCAGCCTGGGATGGAGCTACTCCAGGTTATCCAGGTGATACTGTCCTAATCAATGAGTCAGATCCCTGGCAAGCCCTGCCAGGCACAGGCTTACTGCCAGCTGAAGCCGTTTGTTCTCACAGTGTTTTATGCAGCTCTATTCAGATGAAATACTAGGCAGGACCTGAAGAGACCCCTGTTTCCCAAACTGGATGAACTGTCATGGCAAATGCTGTTTGTGGAGGAAACTGGGACAAACCTGCTGTTCTAGTGCAATTTTCTCCTTCCAGACATCCTTTAGGATGTTCACCACATCCTTCTTAGTCAGCTTTCTGTTCCTGACTTCACCTTCATGCCTTGGGTACACAGGAACATTGTCACCTTCTCCCTAAGGAATGGGAAAGAAACATAGACATAGGTAAGGCATTCGCCTCACTGACAGTGGTGCAGCACCAAAGCCAGGTCCTCAGCATCTAAAACCATTAAAATGAGTAATTTGTGTGGGTCTCATTCCCAGTACTATAAAACACACTTGTCGGCACCTCTGCAGTGTGTCTCAAATGCTCCAGGGTGGACAAAATGAGACTATGTGAGAGGTTCTGCCCAATAAAAATAGAAGATGAAAGATCTTCCTTAAAAACCTGTTCCAGGAATGTCAGAGCAAACAGTTCAAGGTTCTGGAAAGGCTGAGGAAGAGATGTTGAAGGACCAAAGAAATGCTGCTATGTCCCTGAGAAGACCTTTGGATATGTTGTTATGCTTGGCATGATGTGAAGAATCCTTATATTTCCTTGTCCCTGTAGCATTTCCTTATTTCCCCACATGCTGGGGTGCACTGCAATCATAGAATCATAAAATCAACCAGGTTGGAAAAGACCTTTAAGATCATGAAGTCCAACCTTTACCCCATCACTGCCAAGGCCACCACTAAACCATGTCACTAAGGGCCTCATCTACACGGTTTGTGAACCCTTCCAGGGACGGTGACTCCACCACTGCCCTGGGCAACCTGTTCCAATGCCTGACCACCCTTTCCGGGAAGGAATTATTCCTAATCTCCAGTCTAATCCTCCCCTGCCACACCTTGAGGCCATTTCCTCTTGTCATAGAATCATAGAATCACAGAATCCTAGGTTTGGAAAGGACCTTAAGATCACCTAGTTCCAACGCCCCTGCCATGGGCAGGGACACCTCGTGCTAAACTTGGGTGACTAAATGTCACCCAAGGCTCTGTCCAACCTTGTTCCTCGGGGGAAGAGACCAGCCCCCTCCTGGCTTCATCCTCCTGTCATGGAGTTGTAGACAGTGATAAGGTCCCCCTGAGCCTTCTCCGGACTAAACCCCTCCATGTCCCTCAGCCACTCCTCATCACACTCATGCTCCAGGCCCTTCACCAGCTCTGTTGCCCTTCTATGGCCCTGCTCCAGCACCTCAATGTCTTTCTTGTTATAAGGGGCCCAGAACTGAACACAGGATTCAAGGTGTGGCCTCACCAGTGCCCAGTACAGGGGGATAATTACTTCCCTGGCCCTACTGGCCACACTATTGCTGATACAGGCCAGGATGCCATTAGCTTTCTTGGCTGCCTGGGCACAAACTGCTCACATTCAGCTCTGTCAATCAGCACCCCCACGTCCTTTTCTACCAGGCAGCTTTCCAGCCACTCTTCCTCAAGCCTGGAGCATTGCATAGGGTTGTTGTGGCCTAAGACAGTATGAGTTGAATTATCTTACTGTTGCCACAATAAGTAGTCATTTCCTGCTGTGTAGTCTAGTGCTTGTCTTAATCTCATCAGCAGAGAACTAATCTGGGAATAAACAAATACCACTCTGCTGGACATTTCCCTGTCACTGCAGCCAGGGCTAGGGGTAGGGACAGAGAGAAGGACAAGGATTTTAAGCAGCAGGAAGCTGTTAATTTGTCTCAGTCATATAGCGCAGCATTAGTACAGGGCTCTAGCCCACCTGCATGTCTGATGACTTATACTTACATCCTTGTAAAGTGTTTCAGCTTTTCTACTGCACCTGAGTTTTCACAACTTTAAAGTTTTTGGTGGTTATGATGCAGAGGGTTGACCAACGTACAGGGGGGTGGTACAGGGGGGGTTGTACAAGGGGGTTAGAGGAATTCCCTTGCTTAAACAAAAGTATTGTCTGTACCTACCATGCCTACTAAGCAGAACAAAGGCACTAACCATTGATAAGGAAAAGCAGACACCTGGTTCTATTGACAAGGAAAAGCAGACGCCTGATTCTACTGATAAACAGCTATTGATAAGGAAAAGCAGATACCTGAATCTACTGATAAGGGGGAGAAGCAGATGGTTTATGGCTGGGACACTGACCAAAGCCTAAGGCCATACGTGATGACTAAAAGGTGAAAAGTTCAAGAAGAGGAAGACTCATTTACTTCATCTTGAAGACCCCTACCCACAGGAGGAAGACTCATTTACTTTATCTTGAGACCCCTGCCCATGACTAGAGGGGGCACTGCGCAGGCACAAAGGACCTTCTAGCTCATTATAATACGAAGCGGGGATAGGACATGAATATGTATAGGCATATTGTGCAACCTTATGAATATATATAACTTCAGAGAATGAATGTAGAGGGAAACAACACTGAGGCACGCATGACTTTGAGGAATTATCCCTGTGCGTCTCAGCGCTGAATAAAAGCATACCTACTTTACAACTTTTAACGA